CTTCCCCTGCTCGGGGGAGGGGTTTACCCCTCCTCCTACCCCCTCCCCTGGACCTGGATGGGGGGGACGGAGGCGCCGCAGCGTCCAGGATGGCCCAGGATGGCTCCAAGAGGCGCTCCAAGTCGCAAAATGGCCTCCAAGATGGCCCAAGGTATTCCAAGATGGGTCAAGATAGCCTCCGACATACCTCCAAGAGGCCCCAAGACAGCCCCAAAACGGATCCAAGTGCCCTTCGAACCCTCCACGGCGCCCTCCAACACGCCAAAACCCTTCAAAAGCCTAGGGAAAATCAATGTTTTTGACATTCTCGCCTTTTCGCGTCCGATGGGCCTCTGGGGCCTCAAGATGGCCCGCCCAAGAAGGCCCAAGACGGCCCCAAGATCGCCCAAGAGGCGCCCAAGAACGCCCCAAGAGAGCTCCAAGACGCAATTTTTAAGCCTCCGAGGGGGCGGTACTAATTGAGGGACCTCCTCTTTTTGAGCCATGGGGCCCAAGATGGCCCCAAGAGGCTTCCCAGCCTCTCCCAAGGACCCTCCACCCCGCCCTTTTTGGCCCAAGATGGCTCCAAGAGAGCCCCAGACAGCCCAAGATGGCTTTCAAAATTGCTTAAGATAGCCAAGCATGGCTCAAGATAGCCTCCGACCGCCCTCCAAGAGGCCTCAAGGCAGCCTCAAGATGGCCCAAGATAGCCGAGCATGGCTCAAGATAGCTTCCGACAGCCTCTAGCCGAGCACGGCTCAAGATAGCCTCCAGGAGGCCTCATGAAAACTGGCAATCAATTATGGATGGGCTGGTGGGGATACTTTTTTGGTCGCGGCCGCGAGCGAAGAGCGCAGGCGGCGAGCAGGGTGTCCGGGCCGACGAACAAGCCTAATTAGCTACAGGGCGCGACAAGCTACAGAACGCAGCGCGAGCTGGCCGGGCCATCTCACAACCGCGGCAGCTGGGGCAGCAGCAGCGGGTGCTGGCTGGTTGAACTGGGACGCCCTGGGAAGCTCTAGCAACGTGCACTGGTGGGGATATTTTTAAAACAAATTTTCGGCGGCCCGGAAGGAATAGTCCAGAGGGCGTGTCAATAGGCAATGGGGCGCAATGCCAGATAATTAGTGAAGGTCGGCCACGACAGGAGGGAGCCGCCGAGAGGGCGCCAACCCACACTCAACATGCAAGAAACGCGGCGAGACCAGGCCAGAACATTGACCGACTGTCCTAACAACAGCCGACAGGAACGGCAAGGGCAGACTGGTGGGGATACGCGAAGCGTCAAGAATTCATCGGTATGCTTTGGCCCTCTTCAAAGGAAGGCGCCAAACTGGATGGGTGTGGCGGCCTTTCGGCCCTCCTCCGTGCTCGGTGTTTCTCCCTTCCTCTTTTCTTCTTCTTCCTCCTCCTCCTCCTTCTCTTACACCTCCTCAGTATCCTCAACACCCTCCTGTTTGCACAGGCTCTCAATAGGAAGCCATTTGTATTGCGTTTCGATAGTATTCTTTTTGTATTAGCTTTCAATAGGAATCCTTTTTGCAGAGGCTCTCACTAGGAATCTTTATGTAGAGGCTTTCAGTAGGAATCGTTGTGAAGAGGCTCTCAATAGGAATCCTTTTTGTAGAGGCTCTCAATGAGAATCCTCCTGTGGAGGCTCTCAACAGGAATCATTTTGCACCGGCTCTCAATAGTAATGCAGTAGTCTTGTGTTTTAGTCGGGATTATTTTTGTATTGGCTCTCACTAGGGATTCTTTTCTTGTAGAGGCTCTCAATGGGAATCCTTTTGTAGAGGCTTTCAATTGGAATCGTTTTGTAGAGGTTTTCGCTAGGAATCATTTTGTAGAGGCTCTCATTAGGATTCCTTTCGTGGAGGCTCTCAGTAGGAATCCTTCCGTAGAGGCTCTCAATGAGATTTGTTTCTTTGAGGCTGTCAACATGAATGGTTTTGCACAGTCTTTCAATAGGAAGCCATTTGCATTGCGTTTCAATAATAATCCTTCTGTAAGGGCTTTCAATATGAATCCTTTTTGTAAGAGGCTCTCATTCCGAATCCTTGTGTAGAGGCTTTCAACAGGAATCATGTTGTAGAGAGTCTCAATGGGAATCTTGTCGTGGAGGGTCTGAAAGGAATACTTTTGCACAGGCTTTCAACAGGAAGCCATGTGTATTGATTTCCAGTAGTATTCATTTTGTATTGGCTTTCAATAAGAATCCTTTTTTGTAGAGGCTCTCAATAGGAATCTTTTTGTACAGGCTTTCAAAACGATTCCTTTTCGTAGAGGCTCTGAATAGGAATCCTTTTTGTAGAGGCTCTCAATGGGATTTTTGTGTGGAGGCTCTCAACAGGAATCCTTTGCACAGGCTCTCAATAGGAATACATGTGTGTTGGGTTTCAATGGGGATCCTTCTGTAAAGGCTTTCAATCGGATCCTTTTCGCCGATGCTCTCAACAGGAAGCCTTTCGCACAGGCTCCCAAGAGAAATCCATGTGTATTGGGTTTCAATGAAGCATCCTTTTGTAGAGGCTTTCAACAGGAATTCTTTTTAAAGAGGCTCTCACTAGGAATCAGGTTGTAGAGGCTCTCAATAGGAAGCCATGTGTACTGCGTTACAATAATAATCATTTTGTATTGGCTTTCAGTAGGAACCCTTTTTGTAGAGGCTCTCAATCGGAATCCTTGTGTAAAGGCTTTCAATAGGAATCTTGGTGTAAAGGCTTTCGATCGGAATCCTCTTCGTAGAGGCTCTGAATAGGAATCAGTTTGTCGAGGCTCTCAGCAGAAATCCGTTTGCACAGGCTTTCAATAGGAATCCAGATGTATTGGATTTCAATAGGAGTCGTTTTGTGTTGGCTTTGAATCGGCATCCTTTTTTGTTGAGGCTCTCAATAGGAATCACGCTGTAGAGGCTTTCAATAGGAATCGTTTTGTAGAGGCTCTCAATAGGAATCCTTTTCTAGAGGCTCTCAATCGGAATCCTTTTGCAGAGGCTCTCACTAGGAATCCTTGCGTAGAGGCTCTCAATAGGAATCCTTTTGTGGAGGCTCTCACTAGGAATCCTTTTGTAGAGGCTCTCAATCGTAATCCTTTTGTAGAGGCTCTCAATAGGAATCATGCTGTAGAGGCCAGCGCGACATGAAAAAACAAAAACAAACACAAGGACATACAAACCAAACCAAAGACGGGAGGAGGGAGGAGGAGGGGGAGGAGGGGGAGGAGGGGGAGGAGGGAGAGGAGGGGGAGGAGGAGGGGGAGGGGGGGAGGACAAGCTAGGTGCGCTCGCGTCATATCTGACGTCCTACCCCTCCCTCCCATCCCTTACCATGGCGCTGATTTTCTCTATCCGCGGACGCGTGTCGTAGCGGACCTGTGGCTCCGCGCGCGCGTGCGTAGTGGGTGGTGGTGCACGTGCGTGCGTGCGTGCGTGTGTGCGTGGTTGTCGTGGTGGTGGTGGTGGTGGTGGTGGTGGTGGGTGGTGGTGGTGGTGGTGGTGGTGGTGGTGATGGTGGTGGGTGGTGGTGGTGCTGGTGGTGGTGGTGCTGGTGGTGGTGGTGTTGGTACTGGTGCTGGTGCTGGTGGTGGTTGTGGTGGTGGTGGTGGTGGTGGTGGTGGTGGCGGTGCGGCGCGGTGGTGGCGGGCGGATGGGCGCGCGAGAAAAAGGCCCGCGCTGGGGCGAGAACGCCATCCTGAACGACGGAGGCCAAACACCGATCCGAAAATGAGGCCCACGCTGCAGCGGGAGCACGATTCGGAACGATTCGGGAGCAGAAATGAGGCCGGCGCCTCAACGAGAGCAGCATTTTGGGAAAAAATGACGCCGGCGCCTCAGCGAGAGTCGTTTCCCGGGATTTCCCGGGCATCCTGTGTGTAAAAAAACAGTACGCGGAGGGTGCGCGGCCATCACCCGGACGCCATCAGGGGAAGAGGGAGAGTATTTTTCATATTGAGTAATTGTGGAGGGGGGAGGAGGGGAGGAGGGGGGGGAGGCGGAGTGGGGAGGAGGAGTCAGCGAAAACCCTTGGAAAAACCAAAAAAAAACAAAACAACCAAAAAACAAACAATCCTGAGGAGACCTTCCCCCACCCCCCCCTCGCCCCCGAATCTCGCCTCAGGATTGTTTTTTTTTGAGTTTTTTTTCTAAGGGTTTTGTTTGATTCTGCTCCGTAAAGGGGATTCTGATTGGGAGGGGGAGGAGGAGGAGGAGGAGGAGGAGGAGGAGGAGGAGGAGGAGGAGGAGGAGGAGGAGGAGGAGGAGGAAGACAGAGAGAGAGGGATAGAGAGAGAGAGAGAGAGAAGAGAGAGAGAGAGAGACAGAGACAGAGAGAGAGGGATAACGGAGGAGCGAAACGGAGTCGGAATGAGAGCGGTTCCTTTTCGTTCGAAGGCTTTGAAGGCCGAAAGGCCGCCATACCCATCCAGTCTGGAGCTCAAAGGAACTCCAACGGTAGCGTCGGCACCCCGCCGTCGGCGCCGCAAATGGTTTTGGGGTTGGCGCCATGGGGCCAAAGTGCCTGGAGGTGCCGGGAACCCGTCGAGCTTTGATAGGGGGCTGACATTCTGGGCCTACGCATCCCGCCGCGGGGAAATTTGTTTAGCATTTTCCCCTGCTGTCTCTGTGCCGCCGCCGCCTGTCGCTGCCGTGCGATGTTGCACCGCAATTGTGTCTGGACTTCCGATACTTGGTCGGCACCGCGGGCCAGCCTGGTGTCAGTGAAAGTGGAAAGTTTCGCGGCGTCGCCGTGTCGTCGTCTTTCTTTCTGCGCTCACGCATCCAATGCACATCAGCTTACCGGATTTTACAGCCGCGGCGATGCGACCCGTCCAGAGCAGTAACGAGACCAACATAGCATCATCTTCACCTCCCACATTTGCTTGGGATCTTGTTCCTCTAGCAAATAACTGCTCCCCTCCGCGCTCGACGCCGAAAAGACACGGGCGCTCGGAACCCCCTGGATACGCGCAGTTTGTTCCCTTTTGGGCTGTCCTCCCCTCCTGGCAGCCGCCCGTGCCACCCGAAGGTGGGCGAGACGCTGGAGGGCAGGGTGGCTTTCAGGAATACCAACGGCGTTTATGTCGACGTCGGAGTGTTCGGCACCAACGGCTTCGAGAAGAACGGGGCGGTCTTCGCGCCGACGCGCCTGGCGAAGGCCCGCCTTGCGCCGAACCAGACCGTGAGTGCGACGGTCGAGAGGGTCGAGGGCGACAAGTTTTGGGTGTCCGTGGACGGGGTGCCGAAACTGCGGCTGCTCAAGGATCTGAGCGTGGGCGAGACGCTGGAGGGCTTCGTCGCCCTCATGCGGAAGGGCGGCGCCATCCTGATCGACGTCGGCGCCGAGAGGCTGGCGAGCACCTTGGCGCAGCGGAGCGAGTTTACGAAGCTCAAGATCGGGCAGCAAGTGGTGACGACGGTCGAGAAATTGGACGGCGAAGACGTGTGGGTGTCGGTTGTCGGAGCGGAAAGGTTGCCGATACCGCTGCCCTTCCCTCGTTTTCGCCTTTTGGGGGGCATCCTGGGAGGTTCTCGTCGACATGGCTGAAGTCGCCTCGGAATTTTGGTCAGAACGCACCTTGGGAGAGGTCCGGGGAGTAGCGGTATCGATACCCTTTGTTTTCCCCAGGTTGCTGGACTGACCAAGGCCAGGCTGTCCGCCGATCTGCAAGTGGGCGAGAAGCTGGAGGGCAAGGTTGTCCAGAAGAAGAGCGATGCCGTCCTCATCGACGTCGGGTGTGAACTCATCGCGAAAGCATTCGCACCGAGGAAGGACGCTCAGATGAAGCTCGAGCCCAATCAGACCGTCAGTGTCACAGTCGAGAGGGTTCAGAGTCGATCGATTTTGGTGGCCGTCGAGGGACTGCCCAAGCCGATTGGCCCAAAGGCAGGCGAGACGCTGACGGGCAAGGTCGCTTACAAGTCGAGGGACGGTGTCTTTGTCGATATAGGCTTTGCGGAGGAAGCGCGCGTCTTCGCACCCAAACTGCTGGCACTAGACACGCTGGAAAAAGGTCAGACGGTGACGGCGACCGTGGAGGAAACAGGGAGCCGCTCGATTTGGGTGTCTGTCGAGGGGTTGCCTAAGATGAGAATGATCGAGGACCTGAAAGAGGGCGAGGTGATCGAGGGCGTGGTTGCCAAGAGGTCACAGCATGCCGTCTACCTCGACATTGGCTCCATGGCGATGGCACGCGTGCTCGCGCCGAGAGACGATGCGCTCGCCAAGCTGGAGTACAAGCAGGTTGTGAACGCGACGATCGAGAGGGTGAGGTCCAAGTTCATCGTCGCATCTGTCCCAGGGCTTCCCAAGCTGAAGCTGCTCGAGGATTTCGTCTGCTGCTGCTGCTGCTGCTGCTGCTGCTGCTCGTCCCGCTCCAAATCGTGGTTGTTTTCCTGCTTCTGCTGCTGCCGCCAGAAGAGCGCATCCACCACGCAGGAGCCTGCCCTGTCCAAACCGCTGCCCTGGTCTTCGCTGATTTCGGCTCCGAGCCCATCTTGGGGGGCACACCCACCTGGGGCATGGGCATGTGGAGACCTGGTGGTGTGGTGGTGGGGCGGTGGTGGATGCTCTCAAGGTTGCCTCCGCTGGTGTCGATTGAAAGTGAAGCTTCTCGAGGAGATCCAGGCGGGTCAGTCGGTCGACGGCTTCGTGGCCCATAGGAACGCTGGCGGCATCCTGGTCGACATCGGCTGCGAGCGTCTCGGCCTCCTGTCAACATCCAGGGGGGACGTGTTCAAGCTCGAGCATTTAGAGCGCTTGGCGGGCCTGAAGGTCGAGTCTGTGGACATCGAAGCGGGCCAGATCGACCTGTCCCTCGCTGGCCTGGAGGAGTATATACGACGTCTCCGATCGAAGCAGCGCCCCCACCCCACCCGCTGCCCCTGCCGAGGGGAAGAGGGGCACATACATAAACTGTTGGTCGGTGCTGAGCTCCCCCCCGCTGGCCGTTCGTTTGGAGCCACTGCGGCAAACCAGCGCCCATCCCCATCAGACAGTTGGGGCGCGGGTCGGGGCGGCTGGCTTACAGTCAACCCACACAATAAGAATGAGCAACATTCCAAGGCTACCCTTGTATCCTTCCCCTTCGGCCCATCCTTGGCCGCTTTCACTGGCCGCGCCCCGCTCGCAGAGTGTCGGCATGGCTTCCCCAGGCCCTTGCAGCCTCATCGTGCGTCCCTGTTCGACGGGTTGACTGTATCCAGGCTCGTCCCGAACGGGCCTGGGCTTCGGGGCGGGGGCAGTGTTCCGATCGGCGGGCTCCCTCGACGTGGAGGGGCGGGTGGGAGTGGAAGGGGACCGCGGCGGCGCCTGCAGGGAGGCAGGGCGAGGGCGGGCCCCGGCGAGGCTCTCCCGCCTTCCCCTTCCTAAGGAAGCCTTCCTCGGAGGCGTCGGGGAGTGGAGTGGCCTCTCCTCGGAACTCCCCCCCAGACCCTAGCCGTTTCTGCGCGCCGCCAAGGGAGGAGGAGGAGCGGGGAGGACGAGGAAGAGGAGGAGGAGGAGGAGGAGGAGGACCAGCGGAAACCCAGAAGTCATCACCGATGTTGGATTCCTCTGAGGAGCTGCCTCGTTGGACGACAACCGTTTGAAGACCTTGAAGCATGCCAACGCATTGATCTCGGGATTCCAACGCCACGGATCAATGTGACTGTTGCGTCTTGACGATCTTGAATCGTGTCAGAACATCATTCCTAGGACTCCGACACCGCGAATCAGCGTAACTGTTGCTCTCTCAGAATCCTGAATCCTTCACAAACACCAGAAGGGCCGGAGCAGGGAAAGGGGGCATACACGACGGGGAAAGGGGACACCAAATGAATGAATTCACATTGTTTTTTAGTTTTGTCAGAGCCCGAGGGGTCTTTGAGTAGATCTTCTGGATCGGTTGGCGGGGAGCGGGCATGACTACATGAGTGCCACTACGGCACGGGTCGCCGGAGGACGAGAATGAGCGGGGGAAGTTGGAGAAGGAGGAAGAGGAGGCAGAGGTGGAAGATGAGAGAGAGAGAGAGAGAGAGGAGACCGCGGGAGAGCGGCGCGCAGGAGCTGGTGGCCGGTCGGGTGGAGCGGCCGCCGTCGAGTGCCGCGAACGAGAAATAGCGGCGGCGGCCGCAGGCGCCGCCGAGGAGCTGGCAAAGGGCGCCGGATGCGACGGACGCGGGCGCGCCCGCCGGGGGCGAGGACTGAGAATTGTGCGCCCGACGTGGTGCAGGTCCCCCCCCGTCTTCCCCATCCTCGACGGAGGGACAACGCGGCACACGGCAGGGATGCGTTTTTCGCTCAGCGTGTCGAACAGCCAGTTCTGCCCCACCACGCTTCGGCGCGGCACGCGGAGCCTTTCCCAGCCTGCCGCCCCGCGGAGCGGAGCGACATGCCATCAGCTCGCAAGGCACAATTCGCGAGTCGCAGGGGCCGCCGCCGCGACACGTTAAGCAACAGGTCCTGACTGTAGACTTTGGGAGGTCTGCTCGCATTTCTTGGATCGGCGCTGGGCCCCCTGGCGGCGCCTCCAGCGTCGCCGTTGGCGTGCTCCGCTCGCTGGGGATTTGGGGGGTCCAGCGCCGAATCAGTAAAATCGTCCGCTTCCTCATGTGTTTATCGAAGACGCCTACGCCGAACCACCGCCGCATCCCTGCCTTTCGGGAAGCGCCTCTGTGGCAAAATGTCGGGCCCCAGCTTGGCCAAGCTATCGGACTATGTGTTCCCCCAGCCGCTCTGGAAAGTCTCTTGGGAACAGTTGGGGGAGAATGAGAGGGATGATCAGGAGAGGGAGGAGGAGGAGTAGGAAGAGGAGGGATATGAGGAGGAGGAGGAGGAGGAGGAGGAGGAGGAGGAGGAGGCCTCCAAGGAGCCTCTTGGGGCACTCTTGGGGCCTTCTGGGAGCTTCCTGGGGGCTTTGAGGCGTCTTGGGGGCCTCCCTGGGCCTATTGCGGGCCTTTCGGGCCGTCTTGGAGCCTTCTGGGGCCGTCTCAGGGCGCTCCTGGCCCATCTGACGCCGTCGAGAGCCGTCTTGGGGGCCTCTCTGAAACGACTTGGGGCCCTCTTGGGGTGCTTCATGGCCGTATTGGAGGCCATCTTGGGCGTCTTCGAAGCTTCTTGGGTCGTTTTGGAGCCCTCCGGGGGCAGTCTTGGGGGCCTCTTGGTCTTGGGGGCCTCCTGTGCCATTATGGAGCCATCTTGGAGGCCTCTTGGGCGACCTTGGGGGCCTCTGGGGCCGTCTCGGGCCGTAGGAAGGCCGAAACATAGCCAGTAGACACACCTGGGCCGGCACGGGAACGGAAAGAGCGCTGCAGCAACTTGCCCGAGAGGGCTCATGGCACCCTTCGCTCTTGGGAGCCTTGGTGGTAAGAATTTGTGACGTCACCGCTCGCTCTTGGGAGCCTTGGTGTTCCGAGACTGTTACGTTGCCGCTCGCTCTTGGGAACCTTGGTGTTCAGAGTTGTGTACGTCACCGTTCGCCCTTGGGAGCATTGGTGTGCACGAGTTTGTCACGTCACCGTTCGCTCTTGGGAACCTAGGTGGGAAGAGTTTGTTACGTCACCATTCTCTTTTGGGAGCTTTTTACGTCAACTTCGCGATTGGGAGCCTGGGTGTGAAGAGCTTCTTACGTCTCCTCCTCCCTCCTCCTCCTCCTCCTCCTCCTCCTCCTCCTCCCCAAGATGGTGGGTTCCGTAGCCATTTTGGCTCAAGCCATTTTGGCTCAAGTAAACCATTTCTCGAGGTGGTTTGCAGAGACCAGGAGCCTGCCCAGCAGGCTCGGCCCGCGCATCAGGGGCCTGCTGGGCAAGGCAGGCGCCCTCACACTTTCACGCTCCGAGGAGCTCCCGTGCTGTACTGGCTGGGCAGGAAATCAGTTCTTCACGGCCGCGCATGGGGCGCAAGGCGAAGGATGATCAGCAGACTGGAAGCCAGTACGCGAAGTGCAGGGGATGTGGATATAAGTGGAACTGGGCCACCAGGTCGGAGTGCTACATGTGCAAGAGGGGGCTGCAGCCAGCCACCTCACAGGAGCGAGCCCCGCAGGGCGCCTGGGGCCCCAGCGGTGCCTCCGCGCGGCGCCGCAGTCGCCCATCGGTCAAGCCGAACCGCGAGGAGCTTCTCAAGCAGCTGCGGGCCACCATCCCCGACGGCGACGCCGAGTCCGCCCAGCACCTCGAGGCGCTCGCCCGCGTGCAGCCCCCTGGGGTGCACCCAGACGTCGCCCTCAACCAGGCCCAGGCGCGGCTCCGCAGGGCCGAGGCGGCGCTCAAGCGGACCATCGAGAGCATCACCGAGGGCGAGCAGTGGCTGCAGGACCAGAAGGAACAGCGGGAGACCTGGGTCCTCGAGGTCGCCGACGCTGAGGCGGCGGTCCAGGCGGCCTACGCTCGAGCGGCGCCCAAGGCCGTCGCGCCTGTGGAGGAGCCCACGCCAGCCCTGGACCTCTCGCAGCTGCTCGAGGGCGACCTGGACATCCTCAGCGTGCGGCCAGGCAAGGCGTTCGATCTCGAGGGACTCGACATCCCGCCTGAGGAGCACCGCCAGTTCGAGGAGCAGATGGGCCAATTCGTCAAGCAGGTTCAGTCCGAGGTCAAGAGGCACTTCGGCCCAGCGGCTGAGGGGCTCGCAGCGATGCGAGCGGACCTCAAGGCCTTCAGCGACAGGCTCAAGAGCAAGAGGGCTCGGTCGGAGCCCCCCCCGCCAGAGGCCGCCGCAGCTCCCGCCTCAGCGGCGCCAGCAGGCAAGGCGGCAGGCGAAGGTGGCCCAGGAGGCGGGGCGGCCGACGGCAAGCAGCCAGTGGCGGCCGCGCCCAAGGCGGCTCCCACAGTGGGGCCACCAGCTCCTCCCCCTGGTGGCGCTGACGGTGCTCGCGACGCTGCTGCAGCCAGCGGCGGCGGCGCTGCAGGCGCCACCGCTCCTGCGGGGGCCCCAGGCAGGCCTCCCAAGCGCGAGCTGGCACAGGACGTCCGAGCCAGGATCCTGGAGCGGGCAGCCGTCAAGCCCCCAGCGGCTGACGGAGACTCCAGCGCAGCCTGAAGGACCAGCCCCGTAGGGCTGGCGACGGTGGCGACAGCGCCCACGCCGTGGTCGGGGCAAGACTGCCGCGCGGAGGCGAGGAGCGCCAGCCGTCCCACCAGACATCGACGGGGTCGTGACGACCCCCACTACTTCTACGAGCACTACCACTACATGGGGGGCGCCTCCTCCGCCCGACCTGGAGGAGCTGCCCCGAAGGGCGGGCAGGCAGTGGCAGCATGGGCCCAAGCGGGTCGCCTTCATCGTGGGGGCGAGCGTCCACGTCCCAGCCATCGAGGAGGGCCTTGACATCCTGGGCGGGGACGGCGACAGCTCCTCCTCGAACACCTGGGCACGGCGGGCGCTCAGGGGCGCGGACACGCTCCGTCGCCAGCTGCTCGCGCCGTGGCTCCGACGGCTGGATTGCAGCTCAGCCTCGAGCACAGCCACGGACGCCACGGAAGAGGCCCCAGTGGCGCATGAGCGGAGGGCCGCGGATGCGCGGGTGGCCGACGCCTCTCCCCATGTGCCCCTCTCGCTGATGCCGCCGACAGGCGGGTGGTCGAAGCCTTCAGCGATGTGCTCGTGGGACGGAGAGCCGCAGACGTCCGGGTGGTCGACGCCTCTCGACACGAGCGCCCCCAGCTCGGCTCCCCTGACGAGGGGGTGGCCGATGCAGCCCAGCTGGGGAGAGGGTTACTGGAAGCCTCGATCGCGGGGCCGAGGGCGCCGCGCCAAGCCTGGCATGGGGGTCAGCTC